GTGGTAAACATTGATCCCTTATGGATTGAAGGGCAGCTAAAATTTAAAACATTGCATCTTTTTCTTAAATTTATTATAATAAGTAATTAAAAATGTTGTAAACCATCCAACGTGTGTCAAGTAATTGCTTTGGACATTTGGACGATCAATAGCTATCACACCATGTTGTCATGTGTCAATTCTGTCGACAATGGTGTATGGTGTCAAGTTAGCACTACATACCATTTTTTCTTAAAAAACGAGAGCTACAAATTTTTTCTTTCCACAACAAATACAAACACACTACAATTAATGCCGTAGTTAACTTTTCCAAATTCGAAAAGTGTAGTGCTAACTTGACACACGTCAAAATCTGCTCCCTTAGCAAGGCACTGTGTATGCGTTTGTGTGTGTGTGCAAAGCTTTTGTAAGGGAGCTAAGGGAGTGTCAAATGACTGTCACTAATGAGCAAACCTTTAATTATTGAATCATGCATATGTATATCGAAATTGTCAAATGCATTGATATCCTTTTCTTTATCGATAACATTGCCTATAAATCGATAACAGCCGACAAATTGATACCATTGCACATATCGTCGTTTAAAGTACAAACCGCGTATCGTGATTCTGCAAAACCGCGCAACTGACATTGGCTGCCAAAAATTGGATTTGCTCACACAAGCTCTTGGACCAATCCTTATCCATTCGTCCTGAAATATACTAGCCAGAAATGCGATTACTTTATAAAAAAGAGAGCCATTTTGAAATATGAGTGTTTTTGCACTCTAGAAAATAGTTTCTACAACTTCACATACGCGGTTTTGCATTTTGTTGATACGCGGTTTTGCACTTTAAACGACGATATGTATATGTACATAGGTATATCGCAGTCGGTAAATGTATCGATATCTGCTTATTTGTCGGTAACTCTGTTGGTAAATCGATAATATGGCGGTAAATATTTCGATGACTATATTGAAAATGATTACAACATCGATTAAAATGTCGCATGCCGTTAAAAAATAGGCATAACCCTTTCAGCAAAAGCTGGAGCAAATTTTTGTTATAATTTGTTAAAAAAAAACCTAAGGTATAAAGCTCAGTTAGTCAACGACGCCCAGTGTTTCGACTATATGGCGGCAGATAGAAAAAAGTCATGTTGACAGTTGATAAAAAAAAAAAACCGGTTGGACTTAGAGAGGGAAAAGTAAAAGTCACAAATACCATATTTCACATTATTTACTCACCCCCCTTCTTCCCGAACGATACATTTCCAAAGAAATACGGGAATCGGCGCGATACCGAGTAATTAGTTAAGTTGCCTTTTGCGATTAACCCATTAAATAAGACGTTTCTTTTTCAACTGTAATCAATTATTTAAATATCGTGGAATATTCAGGTGAACATATTTATTATTTATTTGGTACATTCCTATTTTCTTACCTACTTAGTTTGAAATTTAGACGCTAAAGATTACATATTAGTAAAAAACAGTGTGAGTACCGGTTCGTCAGGTCTTGAAATTAGACAAATGTTTTAGAGAATTTTATGTAGTTTTAGAATATATAATTTGATCTTTGCGCGCGACTGCAAATATATGTAATTTTTGATTTTTAGCCTCTTTGCATAATTTCGCGAAAATAATTTTTCGAACAATGGGAAAATCTCATCAGACGTTGGGAAAAAAGCGAGTATTTACACCTAAGTTATTTTATGGTATACCCTTTGCTTTCTGACAGTGAAAAGCAGGAAAAAAATTAACCAAAATTCCATCACATTTAACGACTGGGCTCACATTTTTTTTGAGTTTTGGACGTTATAGTGATCTCATCTTTCCCATATTTTATATTTAGGTTTTTCTAATAAAAGAGAGAGCACAAACTAAATTTCATCGAAATCGGATGAAATTTAATGTTCCCGTCCACGAGAGTAGAAGGCGTGACAATTATTCCATCTTTACCAAATTTCATAATTCCCTATTTCTAAGTAAAACTAGAGCACATGTCAAGTTTCAGTGAAATTGGTGCAAGTTTACTATTATTTCCACCTGCCTCCATATAGTCGAAACACTGTGCGACGTAGCGTAAACTTAGGTTGACGTACGTAGCAGCATATCAAATTTACTGTTGATAGAGAGAGAGAGCAGCAACGGCAACGTCACCGCCATGCGGTGATGGGTTTTGGTTAACACGCGAATCCCATAAGGTAGATCGTGTCTGCGTCAACCTACGTCTACGTTACGTCGTTGACTGTTTGAGCCTCCCATGCCCATATGATTATCATGTGCTGTGAAATAGTTTTTCGCATTTTCTGACAAACGTGTAATTTTGACAAAAGAGAGTGAGAAGTGGAATTCTAGTATAGCTCAAAACAATAAAAATGTCTCCAGACGAATAAGTACACTTTTTTAACTTGCTTAAATTCTGATTACTGCAAAATTTTATAACTCTGTAAATGTTATTTTTCGTCATATCTACTTGCGGACGCAGCATGAAATCGGCAGCTATTGCGCCAATGCTTCTGGTTCGCGTACAACAAAAAGTCCACCGCCCGCGCATCAGCAAGCCTCGCCCATAACACCGGTAAACGCCACACTTATGTATTCGCCTGACTGCCCTTTTTTATAGTTTTGAAGTTGTTTTATTATGAAATTTGTGTTCAAACGCAAATTACTAATTAACATTTCTCTTCAACAGAGTGAATCCAGCTTCCCGGTTGGTGGCATTCGCGGTGTTCCAGCACGTGATTCGTTTATCATCTACCAGCACATATTACGCAATCAACAGGAAACTATCAATGCTTCTTTGCGTGGTGAGTTCGACGAAAAAATACTCGCTGGTAGTCCACCATTGGAATTGCGACGACCGGGTAGCGTGCCACGTACGATCGCTGTGCCGCATGGACTGCAAAGTCCACAAGACCGTGCCACAGGTACGTTATATAAATATACTTATACGCATTTCTAATTTACAATTAACGCCTCAATTCCACAGATTCGCCACAAGTTGCTCAAGTATATGTACACAACACCCGCATACCACATCCGCATTACACTGAGCGCGCATTCTACGAGGCGGGTCGCCAATTGCCGGTCGAACCACCACCAGCTCATCGTTCAGCTGCAGCGCATAGTGTTGTGGCGCAACCACCGCCGGTCGCCGTGCCACCACCAGTCGCGGGAGCAGCCAGCCCATTCATTGGCGGGGCGCCTACGACGGTACAGCCAGCGTCAGCGGCAACAGCAGTGGTAAACACTACAACTGGTGGCGGCAATCTTAATGTACAACCACCACCAGCTGCGGTAGCACATCTGCATTCCGCACAACGGATTGAGCAGGAACGCGAGCAGCGCGAACGAGAGCAACAGCAACTGCAACGTGAAAAAGAACGAATTGCAATTACAAGTAAGTGGACTTTTCCGCGCACACTCCCGCAATTATGAAATCACCAAAACTTTTTCTCACCACACTAGCCTCCACCGCAGATACTTTGTCTTCTGCTGCTGGTCAACAAACCACAACTCAAACGAGAAGTCTGCAAGTAGCGACACCATCCCATGCCAATCCACAAGTGACACAACCGCCACCAGCTGACTCACTGCTCACACTCCTGCAACGCTATCCAGTCATGTGGCAGGGTCTTTTGGCACTCAAGACCGATCAGGCAGCAGTACAGATGCATTTCGTGTTCGGTAACCCTCATGTGGCGCGTGCCTCGTTGCCCTGCAACCGCGACGGTAGTACACCGCCGCTGCGTATAGCTCAACGCATGCGGCTGGAGCAGACACAACTAGAGGGAGTGACCAAGAAGATGCAGGTGAGTTATAGCAATCAAATACATAAGGCAGAATTTATAATGTTCTAATATGTATTACTTGCAGTTTGAAAACGAGCATTGCATGCTCTTGGCGCTACCTTGTGGCCGCGACCATGCGGATGTTTTGCAGCAGTCGCGGAACTTACAAACTGGCTTCATCACCTACTTGCAACAGAAAATGGCTGCAGGCATAGTAAACATACCGATGCCCGGCAGTGAGCAAGCAGCCTATGTTGTGCATATATTCCCATCGTGTGACTTTGCCAATGAGAACTTGGAGCGAGCGGCACCTGATTTAAAGAATCGAGTAGCAGAAATCGCACATTTGCTGATAGTAATAGCAACTGTCTAAATGCAAAATGAGGTGTAAGTACCTAAAGCACCACTAATGAGTAAAGGTTCAAATGCGCATTGCATTTCAATGCTCTGGAGCGTAAAAGCGGGGCTGTGCAATTGCTTAATCCGGATTTTAAACACCAAAATTACTAGTATCACACTAGTATATACAAACTGGCATATATATATATATACTGACGCGAACAAAGAAGTAAATTTGTAACAAATTTCATTACATGGAATGTGACTACATAAAACAATAAAGAAATCTGCCTCTAAAGAAAAAGTAATAAGTAAAGATAGGCGCAAAACTGCTGGCACATAGGAAGATATTTAAAAGGGAAATATAACTACATACAAACGTTATGGAGGAACGAATGTAATTTATTTTAATTAAATGTTTAAAGGATTCTAGCAATTAAGTTCTTTTCGAGAAAATAACATACAAAAAAAAACATACAAAAAGTGTAGCCCAGAAATCTAATAAGTCGTTAACAGACACCCAATAAGCAAATTCGCTAAAAGCATAAATCAGATGAAAACCAAAACTTTAAATAAGAAAATAAAAGGGATACAAAAAACACAAAATACTAAACAAAACAAGTCTTAAATGTAAGAGGCGTTAATGAGTGTTAATTTGAAAAAATCTATACAGAAAAAGAGAAACCCGCGCCCCTGACATATAGTCAAATAGGCACAGTAAACTGAACTAAAACCGATATTGAATTGAAGCAAGCAAAAAAGTAAATAGGGAAAAACTACGCAATACTACGATAATGCGTGCAACTATTCCAAGAGAGGTATTCGTAATTTGGAGACGGAGTTATGAGGATAAAAAATGAGAATATGAAAAATTAAAATATTTAATTATATCAATTTGTTAAAAATGTATATATACAGTTTTTTTTTTTGATTTCCATGCTGCTAAGCAAATTTTTATTACAAGTTTTGTGAATACCTCGTATTATTTTTTGTCGTACTTTTTTAGTTTTTGACCCGCACTTGTTTTATGAATAACATTTTCCTTAGTGTTTCATATTACTGTAATAATAATAAAAGAAAGCAAGTTGAAGGATTATTAATAAACATAAATATTTATTAGTAAGGTTAAAATAAAAAACTAATTTACGGTTATTAACTAATCAAAAATTGTAATTTATTTATGATCTCAAATTAAAGAAAAGCTTACTTCTTATTTGCTTTATCAAAAGGAAAAAAAAACTGAAAAAAAGGTAACAAACTGATCAAATAGAAACTGATTTTTACAGCTAAAATAAACTTTTAAAAGGTAGAATCTATGCGGAGATAACAATGTGCAAGGGAGCAAAACAGATGACTTGATAGTAATCCTTTGAGGAAGAGGGGTAGTAAGCCAAGCTTAGAATTGTTTCAATAACTGCACAGAATAAACAATATACAAAAGAAGCATGTCTGCGTGCGCTGAAGTCTGAATTTTTGGCACGGTCGGTTAGGAAAGAAGCGTACGTCAAGTCGGCACTGCCTCGGTTACTTAAACAGTGTTTTCATTTGGCCGGCACTGTTCATTTGAAGGTTAAGTTCTCTGCTCCATTCCGTAATATTAAAACCGGCTAAATGTATGGTCTGATGTTTTTCTGCATACTGTTTATTCTGTGGCAGCATTAAAAGTGTGAGTTTTTATTCATGCGTGTGAATTCTTTTTTTTTTTTCTTGACTATTATATGTACAAAACGGTGCCACTTTTCCTAATACGTTTTTTCTTGTCAGCACCTCTTTATTCATAAAATTTTCAGTTTGAAATTTATTTTCTTCCTACAATATTTGTCATCTAGCAAGATGTTGGCAAAATTCAGTGTTAAGGTTTTTTTCTTTAATGATTTTTTTTTTACTGTGCGTATGTGTGTTTAAGATTATTTTTAATTTTACTAACAATAATAATAAGATTCTAAGAATGCCTTAGATGCTTGTTACATTGTAAGCTCAAATGCCAAAAAAAAAATGAAAATAAGAAGGAAATGAGGACATAAGACAAAAAACTAAAATCAATACCCAACATTGCTTATATTTTAACAAACATACATACATGCATAGTGTATGGTTATTATACTTAATTATACATTCATAGATGTGTGTCCATTTAATGTTACACTTAGAAAATTGGAACCTTATCCAGAAACTGTTATGTGCAACTACTTATACATTCATATCTACAAATGTATGTATGTATGTATTTCAGCTCACGCTCAACTCACTGTGTGTCACTATTATTTATGTTTTTTATTTTGGTCTTGCTTTTGAAAGAGTCTCATACTTGAATTAAGGGACACGCCTTTCTTAAGGTTCAGTTAGTCTAGACTTAATTTACGTTACCTAATGCATTGGCTAAAGCAATATATTTTTGTTCGGGAATTTTTTGATGTGGCTTATAGGCGGCCAAGTGACTATCAGCTGAAAAGGCAAATAAGAAAAGAGAATATTTTCGCTTCTGGCTAAGTTGACGTGTTGGGTAATCATTGTTGATTTCTTACGTAAATTAAGTTAAGTCTACACTAACTAGACTATTAGATAAATTCTTTAATTGTTTTCAAGTTCGTCTGTTCTACTTAATTTTTTTTTTTTTTTTTTTGTTATTTCTATCACTGCCATTTTTTGCGAAATACATACATACATGTATATTTTTGCTTAGGTTGTACATACAAACATATATTCTGCTTTATAAGTTATATATGTATCCGCAGCTGTAGAAAGGCACACAATTTTATTTGTTTTTGCTTAATCTTCTTGAACGAATAAACTTCTATGCCTTTTGTGGAGTTTATAGAAAGCCGGCCCGCATTCACGCGGAAGAGTGGAACTGAGTTAAATGCCTCGTGGCTTTGCGCCTTGATTAGACTAGTTGTCCAACCCCTTAGTTGTGGGAGGCATATCTATTAATTGTTGTAGGACTCCCCAATCAATTCAACGCATGTTTTGCTTACCTTTTAGCATTGTTGTCACTGATTTTTTTTTGTCACAGTTGAATAGAACTTTTCTATCTTATAATTTTTGGTTTTCATTGAATTCTTGATTTTTTTTTCTTTTTAAGACTAAACAGTAAAATACAAACTGAACTAAGCTGAAAATAAGAAGGAACATTAAAATGCATATAAAACTAAAATTTAAAGGAAAATAATCGTATAAAGAAAACAATCCTCACGATATCGAAAATATTACATAATATCCCTTTCCCATTAATATTAAACGTAATTCTGGTAATAATAAACTCTGTAAAATATTAAAGTAGTGTGTAAAATACAATATATAGTATGTATGTATATCCATAAATAAATTATGAGTAATGCTAAGCTCTAATGTAAAAAAATCTACAAAATAATGTTATGTAGTAGCATCTATTAATACAATAAACTTGAAAAATGAAAGTAACACATAAACTATTTTAAATCTATGTACAGTTGAACGTAAAATTAGTATTTAGTATAGCGTTAGAACAGATTAATTATTACATACATACATATATTCACTAACTACAAAGCAACTAAAGCTGAGTTAGTCAAATTAAAGTTAATGATAATATAAATATTTAACAAAAACAATAAAAGTGTATGAAGCAAAACTTGATAGAAGCAGCGTTAAAATTAAAAGTTATTGTAAAAATTTAAAAATTAAACCCAAAAAAACATCTAATAAGCAAGGTCAGCTAGCGTTAGAGTATTGAAAAGGTCTATGCATACATACATATGTATGTACTAGCACTAGCCCGCTCAGTTGATGAATACATAGTATATTTAAAAATAATTCAAATATGTATATTAATACATATGTACATACAGACATACATACCTACATATATGATTAATTAAAATGAAATACACAAATAAATAAGTTTCATTACTGTACCAATGTACATTTTGAGTTGTAATACGCAAGAAGTTTCTCTTAATTTATTTTTTTTGTTTGTTTGTTTTTAAACAAAGAAGCAACAAAAGGAAGATCAATAAATTTGTCTGTTATTTTTTTCGTACAACCAATTAAATGAGTGGTTTTTTGTTTAAATCATTTTGATTGTAATTCTCACCTCATTTCATTTGATTTTCATAACACACACACATTTATTCTACTTATACATACAAACATACAAATAAAGATAAAAGCGTGTAAGAGGCTTCGCACGTTTACTAATACCCACTACCCTTGCGAACTTAAAAAATTAGTTTATCCTAAAGCTCCTTTATACCATTCCTAATAGATTGGGCCTGTTCGAGGCACGTAATAAAAGCGGCATTACTGCCGTACTGATGAAAAATGACAGTATTGCTGCAACTGCCCAACTGATAATACATTGCTAGAAATTCGCACAGAACGTGATATTTTAATAATTCGCGCAACACTGCGGTTGTGATTGCAACTCGAACAAGCCTATATTTTTTGTTAGAGAACACTTTTAGGTAACTTAGAGCACTAAAGCCTATGGGTCGATTACTGATAGCAACGCGACCACGGTTCGGTCAGTTGCTGTCGAATTATCGAAAAGTTAACGCTGTTCATTTTCAAAACATATTAAGGACTTCCAAAAGAATCTGTAGTATAATTGGTTAATAAACAAATGAACCACTTCGTTAACCTTCAATACATCCACTCATAAAAGCTTGCGCACCTTTTCGATTTTTCGCAGAAGAAAGTGCCACAGCGATGACTTTCATTTGGAAAACTTGGTGTGTCGGTAGATTTAAAAGAGGTGTTTCAGTTGATAAAGGAAAAAATTTGCAATCAGTGTTCGCTTTTGTTTCGCTAAAAGGGCGTACTATACGGGAACTAAAATTTCAAGTTATTGTTTTGTTATTTTCTCCATATTCTGTAAAAGCAAACTGCGTTGCAAAATGTTAATATAAAATATATGGCACACTTTCCAATTTTCGCTCCTAGACACGCTCCAAAAACATTCTCAGCAACCACAAAAATGTAGTCGCCTGTATACACACTTTGTAGCAACTGCAGTTGTCAGTTGAAAGTTGCCAGTATCCATCTGTAATATCGTTTTGGCAACTAGCAACGCAACTGAAGTTCGTTTGCTGTCGATAATAGACCCATAACTTCTGCTTGACATACCATATATGATATGGGACTGGAATTTTTTATTTGTATGTGGAAACTTTTAAAAGAAGTCAGTTATAAAAAAAGCTTTTTTTTAATTTGAGTTTCATTTGAGAATATTATTAGGTATCAACTTGGGCATCATAAATTTATGCATCCAAAATTGGAGAATTTTGTTATTTTGTATCTGCTGTGATTTTCAGCGCCGTTAATGTAGCATCTTTCTTGGGCCCATCTTAGGTTCCTTGCAAACTCGGTACTGTTGCTAAACTTGCAACAAGAACAATCATTAGATTTTCATTCGCCTCGTTTTTGATTTTTACTTAGCTGCTAATGCTATTAGAGCAGAGAGTTGCTATACATATTAGCAACTTCATTTTTTCTACTATTTCTGCAGGTTTTTTGCACACAAGTCTTCAGCTTTAGGGCACTTTATAATACTTATATTCTTAATATACACTTTTCGATTGATAAAAGTTACCATTCTTAATATAAACTTTCGATTCAGTGGCGTTGACCATCGTCTACCTAACTAAGGTGGCCGTTGCTGTCCATAATCGACCAACTACAGACGCAATTCTTACAAAAAAAATGTTTCTATTGTTTCATCTAAACTTTTATATACGAGTACGTACAGAGATCACAAGTACCCTATGTACATACATACATACATACATACATACATATGTACATATGTAAATCGAAAGATTGAAGTTTTGTCGAAAAACATGCGGATAGTTTAAACAGAGCTAAATAACACCAAAAATATCTAAAATCAATCACCTTATACGCACATACATACATATGTACATACATGCATAAATTACAAAAAATTAAAACCAACAATTAAATACATAGTACATTCGAATATTCTTATATACGTATATATGTAGGTACACACCTAAAAATAATGAAAATCGGTAGCACTATAGAAAGTTATGTGCATATGTGTGTATACTTGTTTGGAAACGCTTATTAGCAAATATAACATACATAAATCTACAGATACAAAAATAACAAAAATTTAAATAAATAAAAAAAACAATAGTTATAAAAACTGTGAAATTTCAAGCAAAACCCAGAAAAATACCTAATTAACTAAATAAAAAATAGCAAAATTGACGACTTTTAAGCGTAGTTGTTAAAAAGCTTAGAAACTTAGCGAAAATAATAAAAAAGTAAAAAAAAATAATTAAAAATCGACGTCAACCCATTTAACTGCAAGTGTCTAAATTTACAAAACGAACATATACATATTAACATACATACATAAATACAAATCATTGGATTCCTCCTCTCCACTGCTCTGTTTTCCCACTTAAACCCCGACTTGTAAAAAACAAAAATTTCTATACATATACAAACATACATACATACATACATATGTATTATTTGCCTAGATTTTAAATGCTGCAAAAAGATCTATAATGCATACACTACGTGTATGTAGTACATTCATGCATACATAAGTATGTATAACACATGTAAATTACACAAGATAAATTATATTGAATATTAAATATATGAGTAGATTATAAAGAAACATATATACTATATATATTAAATATACAGTTATAAAGTCGTGGATATGAATAAAAATAACAGAAAAATTAAGATCTAATAAATATAAAAATGAGAAACTCAAAAAATATAATAGGCAAACAAATAAGTGTTTTGTGCGTGTTGCGGGAAATCGAGAAACAAACAAACTGTAAATATTAATAATAACTGTATTGATAAATATTATAATTAAATTGACGTAAAATTTAAATGAAATAAATGAAAAAGAAAATATAAAAGCCAATTGCGTTTTCTTTTGGCAAAATTTGGGTTTGTCTAATATATACATAGGAGCATTTCCCTACTTACGAAAGTTACATGCGGATACATTTTTTTCATCATAAAGAAAAAAACGGCCAAGAAAAAATTGCAACTATTTCGTGTGTGTGTCCCATGATGCAATAATGAAAGGTGTTGTACGTTGTGACAACTCGAATTCGAACTTCCTTAGCACAATATTTTATTTTGGAAGTACAAGAAAAACGGGAAGAAAAAAAGCCTTTTAGTGCAATAATTACTAAATTTTACACCTTCTCAACAGCGTGCCAATTATCAGAATAGGTATACAGTGAAACCCGCTTAAGTACTTTACCCCCTTCCCCCCGCGTAAGTACCTAACCTGGTCACCGTGAATTTTTGAATGTAATCAGACGAAAATCCCTCTCTTAAGTACCTCCCCGCTTATTTACCCAACCCGTCAAAGTACCTAAATTTTTCGTACCCAATTTACCATTTTTCCTACAATTTTTGCCTTTTAAGTGCTCTTTTAAAATTCCTTAAAATATTTACATATTTTGAAATTCAGTGGCAGCGCTACACACTTTCGCCAAAAAAATTATAAAAAATCAAAGGTCATTTTTAGCCACTTGAAACTTGTACATTATTACACTAAACTTGAATGTTCTATAATATAAACCTGTATACTCAAAAAACACCTCTGAGAAAAAAATTTGAAATTTTGGTGAATTTTTTTTCTTTAAGTGTTCCACAAAATCTTAACTTAGGTTTATATGGCATGTGTTAGGGAATGAACTGTATTTTAATTGAAAAATCTTACAAATTAATAAGTAAACATAAGTGGCAATATCAACAATATCATTTGAATTTTGCCCAAAATGATACGTCCAACTCTGTTTGTATGTAAGTATAAATATGTATAATCAATGACTTTTTAAAGAATTAAAATTCTTGTAAAAATGTAATGCCACACCATTGCTTTATCTATTTTCTTAATAAAGTTGTTCTTTATTTATTTATGTGCTTAAATAGTGCTACGGTCTTGGTTTTAAACCAGTGTACGAAAATAAACTATATTGTACGTTACTATTTCGTTTCGTTTATTACTTTAACAGTTCGGTACAATACGAAACAAAACGGCTGAGTTCACTTTGGCGATAGTACACTACAGTAGTTTAGTAGTTACAGACGAAACAACAAACGAAATGAATCGTGGAGGGAAAATATTTTTATGTATGTACATATATGCAATAAACAAATACGAAACGAATGGCTGCAATGAATAAAAAAAATAAGAATGTTCNCTACAGTAGTTTAGTAGTTACAGACGAAACAACAAACGAAATGAATCGTGGAGGGAAAATATTTTTATGTATGTACATATATGCAATAAACAAATACGAAACGAATGGCTGCAATGAATAAAAAAAATAAGAATGTTCTTTAATTGAATTGGATATGAAAATTTACAGAAAAAATTATTTTTCACGTAATTGAAACGTTCGCATACATATAAAACGTACCCTATGGTACAATTGTCACAAACGAAAAGCAAACGTTTCTCGTTGGGGAAAATGACAGTGAATCTTACAATTTGTTTCTGACTATTTACAAAACTGTACAAAACCACAAATGATATGATGATCGATGAGCAAATGGGAATTGTTTTGTACAGTTTATTTTCGTACCCTGTTTTAAACTTTGTATACTTCATTAAGGCTGCATTTCTTTATTCATTCTGAACGTTTGGAATAAACTTTTTTGTTTACTTATTCTTTAGAACGTTACTGATGATATGTTAACGTATATTTCAAACGCATTCTGTTTATTCCGGCTGTGAAATGGGATTATCCGGAATGTATAAAGAAACGCAGCATAAATGCTCATGTTTTATTCGAGGATTTAGATGAAGATGTAGCTACATCAATAATTATGTTCGCTTAAGTACCCGCATCGAGAAACTTAAGCGGGTTCTTTTAAGTACCCAACCCGCCTAAGTACTTCAAAAAGCTGACATTTTCGTGAGGTACTTAAGCGGGTACATATATACATATATGGCTTGTTAGTCTCATAAATTTGTAGATAATTAACATAATAAAAGTCGTGTTTCTATTCACTGGAATATGATAATATGCTTAAAATTTTTGGGCTGATGAATACCCAGCTAGAACAGTGTGGCTTATATATAATCCCTAATATGTGCCGTATCACTAAGAAAAGTATCCCTTAAGAATTGGAAAATTTTCCCTTATACTGTACAGGCCAAATATAGATATTTATTTACGTGTGATCTTTTGTCCCCCTCTTTCATATGGGCTTCTCGTGCGCATATATCAGGTTTGATAGCTGTTGACCATACCAATAATGCCTCATACTCAGTTTTACTAGATCTAATTGTGTTCTCGGGAAAAAAATTTTCACGGTTCAAAAATCTGCTTTGTATGATATTTTCAATAAAATCTAAGGCCAAAATACGACAAATTTTCAAAATTTGTAGAAAAAAGATTTAGCCGCTATATTCAGAGGCACTATTTGTATGGCCAACAGCTATTCGCATTATACGTTTTTGAAGTGAAACTTCTTTAGCGGCGGTTGGTTGGTTGGGAGTAAATTGGCAAATTGAGCGGAAATTGCACACGGATCTGGTTGGGACGCAAATGATGCAACGGAAATGATTGGGGCTGAAACAAGTACTTCTTGTGTATATGCAACGGAAATGATGCAACAGAAATGATGCAACGAAAATGGTGCAACGGAAATGGTTGGGGCTGAAATAAGTGCTTCTTATGTGTATGCATATGGTATCTATAAATTTAACAAAAATTTGCTAACAAAAGGTTAAAGAATAACACTCAGAAAAAGACCAATACAAGAATGAAAGTAAAGGTGACTACGTACATAAATGAAGAAAAGGATAAAGGCAAAGGTAAAAATAAGAACAAAAACAAAGATGCGTAAAGATAAAGGCAAAAATGAAGACCAAGGTAAATTTAAACACTTTACTTATATATATAAGAACAAATGTGAAGGGGAATATGTAGCTGAAAATAACGATGAACATAAAAGTAAAGACAAAGAGGAGGATGAGGATACCGATAAAAGCAAAGATGAAGATAGGGGAAGAAAGATTAAAATAGAGGTAATTACAGAGGAAAGGATATAGAGAGAGACACAGAGACTCAATCTGGGATCTATTTTTGGATTTTAGAGATTTACGGGATTCTCGAGATCTACCGATAAAATAATCGATATTTTTATCGGTTTTGTTATCAATTTTTNTAATTACAGAGGAAAGGATATAGAGAGAGACACAGAGACTCAATCTGGGATCTATTTTTGGATTTTAGAGATTTACGGGATTCTCGAGATCTACCGATAAAATAATCGATATTTTTATCGGTTTTGTTATCAATTTTTTTATCGATATTTATCGATTTGTTATCGATATTTACCGATTTTGTTATCGATATTCATCGATTTTGCTATCGCTAATTATCGATTTTGTTATCGATATTTATCGACTTTGTTAGCGATATTTATCAATTTTGTTATCGATTTTATTATCGATATTTATCCGATTTTTTTATCGATATTTATCGATTTTGTTATCGATATTTACCGATTTTTTATCGATATTTATCGATTTTGTTATCGATATTTATCGATTTTGGTATCGATATTTGTCGAATTTGTTATCGATTTTCTAATCGATTTAGCTACCAATGTTATTATCGATGTTGCTATTGAAATTTTTGTCGAATTTGTCTTCGGTTTTGGTATCGGTATTTTGATGGACGTTATGATCGATTTTGTTATCGATAGAGTATAATGATAAAAATGAAGATAATGGAAAAACAGAATAACATGAATGTTATTAAAACAAACAGTGGTAGAGGTAGGGATCTACATTGATAGAAAAAAAAGCGAAAAAATATAACCTTAAGCAAAAGCAGATGTGTGTATGTATAGATAGATAAGTAACGTAAGTTTCACTTCTACAGTGTGGCCCAGGCGCACTTACTTTTTTTTGTGTTCTACCGTGTTATATCAGGGATGGTTTGAGGAATAATATAAGGAATTATACATTACGTATATTCAAATTCGTCTCATACAGCAAGCATTAACTACTTTTTAATATTTTATTTATTTGTTTTTGAAATTAACGATATATTTCAGAATTTATTATTTAACTATACTTTAAAATAGATAAGTTAACGTCCTAATACTTATTGAAGTCTTTAATTCCACTTCTGCAGGAACGTATTTTATAATATTTTTCACATACATATGGGCATTCACAATGGTGTCTTAAGTGTCGTATTGTTATTTTGTAAACTTTAAACTATATATGTATATTTAGGTGGTTCGTAAGTTGTGTTATAAATTTTGACACTGTCGGAAATAGTTAGTTGTGGTTGCAAGTCTTTAGACATTTATTTAACCACTCAAAATTTACGACATAATAACAATGCGATACTTACGACACCGTTGTGAATATGCTGTAATAATATAAATGTATTAATACAACTATAAACTAACATTTATGATCTACATAT